TTTTTTCTGCTGCTGCTCCTGACTCCTCCAGAAGCATTGGCCACTCTTCATCACAGAGGAGGAGGGAGGCTGACACCTCTGTTGATGCTGGTGTACAATGTTGGTCAACCGAAAAGAAAGGTACTTACTAAAACTGACATTGCCAGCCAGACTCAGGTGGAGACCATCACGGGCAAACATTGCCCGTCGAGCCTGACTGCCGTTGTCTAAGAAAATCACACCCTGGTGAGAACATAAGTTTGACAAAAGATCATTCAACTCAATGCGCTTCCCGTCAAGGGAGTCAAACCTACGTAAAACACTAGAAATAACAACAGAAGCTGACGGGAAACGAGACTTGGTAATAGAAATCAAAGAACTGAAATCATCAATAGTCCGACTCAGTGGACGGTGCATGTGGAGGTTGTTTGTCCCCACATGCACGTACACAACGTCGGGCTCAACAAAAGGGTAAAACAAAATATCACGGGACAAATCATAGACAGAAGCTCCAGGGTGTGCATTAACAGAAAACAAAAAACCAGGAGGGAATGAAACATGGCTGCCAACATGTTTGCACATAGAGTCGCTGAAGGCTAGGATGATCTGAAACCAAGGATATAAAGAGCATGTTAACTTAGTATATACATGTATGTACATGCATAATGTATGTATGTATGTCAGCACTATGGTGTATTATTAATATTTTGTTACTTGAAGATTTCAGTTCCTTGCCTCATGAGAGACACTTTCTTACAACCTTGAGACAATATTTTTGGATGTTGAACTTTAATGACGATGTTGAAAACTCACGCTGAACCTCTGTTGTCAAATAAATTTGTTTTGACTACAGTCACGTGATTAAACTTGGCGGGAAATTTGCAACCTACAACATATGCAATGTGTAGGACTTTGACACAAAACCTGTCTTCTACAGTACATTCATGCCCTTGATAGAATTAACTTACGTTTTAAAATCATCACCCATCACTTAGAACTCTTATAGTGCCACGAAAATTCAACTATGTCTTCAGAAATCAGCTAAAAATCGAGTCAACGAAATAAAGGACCTACTAAACGCTTGACTGAAATAACCGATCGTGAACCATGACAGCAAAAAATATCGCTGAAAATATGACCTCAGTAAACATTACAATTGCAAACCTATCCAAACCTCAAACCAACTTGACATTCATATCAGATATAAGCTGATAGTTCGACGCTCACAGTTCACACTTCGTTTTGTACAAATTCAATGACGCAATGCATTTGCCCCCAAATTGAAATCCGACTGAAAATTTGACGAATACAAGTGCCGCCATTTTGAAAAATATACACTCTACAAAGATTAGGCCAAAAGATATAAAAGATCTCACTGAAATCCCTCAAAAACTATGAGTATCGGGAGCCTATGACATTGACGTGCTGTACTTACCGCCATCTTGGTCCAAGAGGGGGTTTCCCGGGCAGCACATGCGACTGAAACGCGGGGTGAAATTTCATCCGGGCGGCCCGAGAAAGCATCGTCCATAGCAACGGCGTTGCTATGGACGGCGGAGTGATACGCACTGCAAAGAAAACTCGTTCGAAATGCGTTCGATCATAGTAGTGGCGTGCCGGCTGTCTTATTACAGGTATGCAAAAACTAACAATGATGAGATTTGATACATTTTGAAGGTCTTAGGCACATAAAATTGAATGTGTGGGTCATTACGCACCACTTAGGTGCAATGTGACCTCAGGTAACCTGCAATGGAACACATGTTCCATGGATGGAACCGGCCATTCTTTAGATAGAACATGGAACGGGTACAGCACTTTTGGCCCTTTTTTTGCTGAAAATAGCCATTAAAGTCCCCCAAATGAGTCATTTGGAAGTGGTGTATGCCAAATACATGACTGCTATTCTGTAGATACACGTTCAAGGTACCCTTATACCGAATGTCATATCATTTGGTTGTAATACCAGGGCTCAGGATCCAAAAATCCCTATTTTGTCGAAAAATGCCCCAAAAAACCTTCATAAAAATTTTTCGAAGGCATGTTTCAAAAAAATGAAAAAAACGTCTGGGGGTATTGGCCCACTCTACCTCCATGCCAAATTTCAGGTCATTTGGCTGAATGATGGCGGAGTTGAATCCCTTTGACTGTTTGGCAGGAGAAGGAGAAGGAGGAGAAACATGAGGGAACACAATACATTTCATCCATACCTTGGTATGGACTGAAATATTTTAAACTGAGTAAGACTTGTACCTACCCTGTCCAGTAACTCCACCCTGAGCTGTCCCCTGCAGTCTTTAGAGATCCTGTGTTTGTTCTCCATCAGTGTGTCATTCCTCACAATCTCACTCAGACAGGAAACAAGATCAGCTCTGAAATCACACAGGCAGGCTCACATGAATGCACATAAGACTCAGGCTTCTTCTTTCTAGCTCAGGCCACATTAATGTACAGGTACATAAATTCAGGTTTCTTCTTTCTAACTTGTGCCACACAAACTTACTAACACGTAGCCTTGCTTCTTCTAGTATAGTTGACATTAAAAATGAATTCATCCTTTTATTGTTTTTGTCAATCGGTCAAAACAGCCCATGTGAAGTCTTTATGAATAAAACTGCAGCGTACTTGTTCTTGATGTTGCGGCAGTACTTCACCACATCTGACTTGCAGGCCTCCTTGAACTTGAAGCTGAATCGGTAGTCCTTCAGCTGGATCTGGATAAGTGTGGTGGAGAGATTAGAATGTCCCTTATTACATTATTACAGAATATGTATGCATGAATACAGATCATTGAAAATAAATGGACTACCAAGGAGGTTGTCACTATTTACTGGTCAAGAAAAATCTAAATTGTTCAAGTTTTAATTATTGTCTGTCCAAATAATTATCTAAAACCCCATCTTTGACAACATACTCACCAGCTGCATGTGCATGATGCCAGCTGCACATTTCTTGTTCATCTCGTGTTCGTTCTTATTTTCAATCAGGCACTGCAGCAAGGCCCCATCATCCTCCTCTTTGTCAACAATGTCCTAGAGACATCCAAGGATGGGATATGAATATCTTTTCATGTACAATATCATACTGTTTCTCTTATCTTTCACAGCACATTTCACAACACATCTGCATATCAACTGGCAACTTTAATGCCATTTATATCTGACACAAAGCATGTCTCCATCACGTGCATGCATGCAGTACTATCATGTATACCCTTTTTCCATGAGGCACTATGTCTCTCTATTTCTTTGTTTACATCACTTCTATTTTCAAAACCACCAAAGATCAGACTTTTTTCTGGCTTACTTTCTTATGCCCATACCTTACCTTACCAGGGTTCAGAACCTTGATGGTTATGTCAAGATTCAAACTTTGGAATTTTGACGTGATCCAAAAGTAAAAGAGTTACCAACCACTAGACTACAGCAATCTCCAGACAGTTAGACAGGAAGTCTTAGATGCCCAATTCACTCACCTTACAGTACCTCTTTATCATAGGGGCACAAGACATCATGAAGATTCTATCCAGATCCAGATCCTAAGAAACAGACAGTAATATCAATGGTAATTAATGGTGATCCTTTGGGCATTTTGACATACACAATGGGCAAAGAGCTACACATGTACATGCAAACAACAACCTATCCATCTGCCTTACTGACCTGAGATGACATCTGGGTGAAGTTGCCCACTCGTTCTCTGCAGGGTTTGCTCAGGTTCTTGAAGTTGTCCTGGAGGCAGTGCATTTCCTGTAGCAGCAAAATAACAACCGGGCATTCAAGAATCAATGAATGGTCCAACAATGCTGATTTTCGTCCTTGTCAACAGTCCTAGAGGTCACAGCTAATGTACTGAGTAGGAATGATATTACAAATAGTATTTCATTTTTGGATTTTTGTTTGTTTCAGAGTTTCAGAGGTTTTTGTCCTTGGTTTGTTTTAAATTACATCATTCCTACCCTCATACATATGAGAATCCTGTTAGTATATACAATCTACAGTGTAAAGTGTTTGAGTGGGGGTAAAGCTGGGAAACTGAGAGAGAAACTACATGGTTAAGCAGGCTAGAGTCCAAGTTGATGAGCTGAAAACACCTTCACCATG